CCCCCAAAAAAAACAAAAAACAAAAAAACAAAACAACAACAACAACAACTACGACAAGAAACAACGATATCAATCTGTCAATAAGTCTTACAAGATTCCCATTAACTGAACCAATATTGGCAAAGATAAAAGAACAGACAAGAAAATCTAGTGATAATCCCAGAATTGACAGCACAAAAAGATTGCTTCAGTCAGCGTAATTAAAACCAGGTCTGGAACTTGTCAGAAGCTGAGATATTTTACTTGTCGGATAACTAAGGGCTAGTATTACCTTTTTAAAAAATGTGTGTCTTGTTTTGTTTTGTTTTGTTTTGCTTTAGTTTTTGTTTTTATTTTTTCAGCGTTGGGGGAAAGAGTTAGCTCAGTTGGTTTCATACAGAACTACGATGCAGATGGCCGAGGTTTGAATCCCCGACAGATTGTTGCTAAAGTTGGAAGTAAGGGAGTTTTCAATACTGCCATCCAAATTGGATAATGACAGTTCCTATGACACTTGAATCAAAATAAAAGTCTGGAACATATTGCTCTCACTTGGAAAATAGAAGGCAAAAGAAACAGAGGTAGATCAAGAATAGCTTACTCAAAGAACCTGAACAGATGGATGGCAGGGAAAAATCTAGTAGGCCTATATTGTGGGCTTTTGAGGAGCATTTGAGCAGAGAAACACGAGTCGAACCTTGATCACCAATGTCTCTTTCAAGACGAAGGACCGTAATTTGTACACTTAATAGCGTAAACGTAACCATACCTGGTTGGTAACCGATGTCATAGCCCGTTATGATCCCGTTGGAGTGGTCCGGAGGCAGCCATCTGAGCGTGACACTGTTGTGAGTGACTACGTCAGCGAACAGGCCTTCCACTGCGCTCGGAGCTGCAGGGAGGGGAAGAAGAAGAAATACAGGAATTAGTAAATGTTGTATGTGTGCTGATGGCTGGCGGGTCGGGGAAATGTGAATTTGGTGTGGTTAGGGGGGGGAGGAGGGAGGGGGGATTCAGAAAGAAGGAGCACTGTTCTCAGGAGAAAGATTACGTGTTGTACGTTTGTAGATATAATGGTGGCTGAGTGTGAAGGAGAGAGATGAGGGATTAAAAGAATAAATATTGTATGGGTGCTGACCACTGAAGGATCGGGGGGGGGCAGACAGAAGGAGACTTGAATGTACTCCTGAGAAAGATTAAAATGTGTCTATGTTCTGAAGGTCGGCGGGTTTACGAAGGAGAAGGAGCCCTACACAAGATCCACTCTCTTCTCTCTGGCGCCTGTGGTGTAGGTAGCTAGACTTTTCAAAAGGGGTCGATCAGGGCGTGAAATACTTTAAACAATTACAGTTTAATGTCTACTCACTTTCCCTAGCGTCTGTGGTCTAGTAGCTAAGCTCTTACAGAATCAAACGCGAGTCGATCAGGTCTAACAGCTTGGCTCTCTCCCCCCCACAAAATTTTTTTTAAAAGAAGAAATAAAAATTTATAAAATTTTTCGAAGAGATGTTAAAAACATTGACAATGACAATTGCAACCAACAATCTCTATCTACTGTCCACTCACTTCCCTCCGGCGTGAAGACATCCTCCACATCACTGGGTGGGCCCTGATAGTGCGTGTTGACCACCACCACCTGGACCCTGATGCTGGAGTAGGCTGGGAGGTCCGGCACCGACGCCTTGACCAGATGACCAGCGGCCACGGGCTGGCCGGACACGGGAACGTAGACCTCTCGCTTGTGCCGCTCGTCCGTCACCTCCCAGTACAGGATCTGGTTTGGGCGGGAACGAGGAGAGGAAAGAATATACAATTTATTAGTGGAGGGTTTTGGTACATATTTGCATTTCCCCAGGGGTAAAAACCTACCTGTTTTTGTGAATTGGAGAAGAAAAGACAAAAAAAAAAAGGGGCCAGGGTGGTGGATACACACAGACTTAGATAGATAGATAGATAGATAGATAGATAGATAGATAGATAGATAGATAGATAG